ACTTGTCATCTTAATTGCTCCTACAAAGACATTTTATTATTATTTCATAAAACCTTTAAACATATTAAATGTCATAATATATTTTCAAATCTTTGGTATAAAATAGAGAATTAAATGCCTAAGTATACACACACAAGTATATACTTCCTTGGCTCTAAAGCCAGGACTGCTTTGAAAGCACAGAATCAACCACACGGCTAATATTAACTTTAATATAATTACTTCTAGACAGGATAAAAGATGAGATTGTCACCGTCCTGCTTTCAAACTTTGGCTTTGTTTTTACTTTGAGCTAGAACTACTCTCTTCAATTAAACCGGGGGTGGGGGGGGTGGGGGGACGGACGACGGACGATACAAGATTTTGGTTATCAACCCAAATCACAACTCCTCTCTCTCAAATCTGGAAAAGGTATATAGGCTTCAAGAAAAAGACTTTGTTGTTTTTTGTTTTTTATCCTCCTGGGACTACAACAGCCTGGCTTTCTATAGAATGAAGGGAAACTTAAGGAGTTTATTACTTACCCCTGGAATTAAAAGATTAATCCCAGAGAAACAGATCCTTATGGGAAAAGGGCAATAGTTCTGGGGTGAGAAGACCCACACTTGAGAGCTAGTGTTGAAACTGAATTTTAATACCCCCTTTCTAAAGACAGGCTCTTGGAGGGTGACTTGGCTATGACATCTGTCACCCCATTGATGACTAGAGTTGACTCAATTAAACTGACTGGGCCTGTGCGTGTCCCTCCTGAAGTTGTCCACTGGGTCAAAGAGGACCACTTTCTGCAATGGAGGACTGTTCTTCAGTTAAGGGTTCAAGCAGTGGCTGAAGGCTCCTGCTAGAATGTTCAAAGGAGCGCTCAAGGTGGGGTTCACTCTGTAACCCAGGCTGGCCTCAAACTTGCAGTATTCTACCTGTTTCAGTTTCCCAAATGCTGGGATTACAGGTGTAAACCACTCTGCCCAGCTCCAAAATGAATTTATTTTATGTGAATCACTGACTCTTGCTGAGTTCTCCGTTTGGTGGCTGTCATCCATCTGCCTCACAGAGCTGACTGGTGTCAGTCATCAGATACTATGTATTTGAACAAAGAAGGAGGTGAGCTGATGAATGGTAGGTAAAACATGACTTTCAAGCACCTTTTGGGAGCGTGGTGCACATACTTTTAGGAGCCTGTGACAAAGCTCTAGATTATCATAGGGATTTTTACACACATAAAAATAGCGATATCCAGTATTTTATAAATCATCAGTTCTTGGTATTGGGTTGAGGATTCTTTAATGTTAATTTCTGTCATCTATGTAACATGATTATGACTTTCTTAATAACCAGCCCCATGTGGTGGCACTTTGATTCCAGCACTTGGGAGGCAGAAGCAGGCAAATCTCTGTGAGTTCAAGACAGCCAGGACTACAGAGACCCTGTCTCAAAAACAAACAAACAAACAAAAAAAAACAAAAACAATAACAAAACTCCAATTTACAAACTCTTTGCTAGGTTGCTGAAGACTCAGATTATTGGCACCTCTCCTTCATCCTCATCCATTCTTCTACATTTATGATCTAGCCAAAACTAGTATTACATTTGCTCTCTTCTTTGGTAATTAAACCTCAAATTGAGCTAAATGTAAGGCCATGGAATGAAGATCCTTCCTAGCTTTTCTTACAACTAAGTGTGGCCACTGGACTGAGTCTGAGCCTGTGGGAGGTAAGCTCTAACTAAGATAATGGCAAGGTCATGTCCTTCCCCTTTCTCTTTCCTACTTGTTGGGAAGTGGAAAGCAATGGAAGGAATAAACTGGCTCTCTAAATGGAAGTTGCCTATGGAGGGTACAGCACAAGAAGGATACAGCCAGGCCCCAGGTAATTTGGAGATACCACATCTGCCTTGATTGCCCACCTGGACCTTTACATAAGAAAGCAGTTTCCTAGCTGGTTGCAGTGGTGCACACCAGTAGTCTCAGAATTCAAAAAATTGAAGCAGGAGGATTAAAATGAGTTCAAAACCACCTTGGCTCACACAGGGAGTTGTAGGCCAGTGGTGGCTATAATGAGACCCTGACTCAAAATCAAAGCAAAACAAAACATTTTTGTTTAAAGTATCAATATAGAGAGCTGGAGGGATAGCTCAACAGTTAAGAGCTAGGAACCACATTCTATTCCTGGCATCCACAAGACAGCTCACAAACCACCGTAACTCCAGTTCCAGGAGATCCTGACACTCTCTTCTGACCTCCGAGGTCACCAGCCATGCACTAGGGTACTGACATACATGATGTCAAAACATCTATACATATAAAATAAAATAATATAAAAATAATTTAAACCACTGATACATTAGGTTTTGTCTCCTTGGGTTTTTAAAAAAGATTTGCTATTTATTTTTTTTTTGTGTGTGTGTGTACCTGCGTGGAGGTGCCCTTGGAAGCCAGAAGTGGGTGTTTGGATCCCCTGGAGCTGAAGTTACAAGGCAGCATTTGTTTCCAGTCCTCTGAAAGAGCAGCAGTTTTTTCTAGCCTAACTGACCACACAGTACCACTAGACTCTCCATTTAGTAGACATCTTAAGGTGTAATTACCCCTCTGCCTGAAAGCACTGCTCCTCTTCCTGCTCCTCGTCTTCTTGCATTTTCAAACCTCCACTGAAATGTTATCTCTGTTAGGAACCTCCAACTTAAGACCTTGGATGAGTTAAATACACTTCCTACTTATTCTTTATGCTTTCTCTTGGCTGACAGTCACCACACCTTTCACTGGTAAATTACAATCTATCTGTTCTACTATACTACATACTCTAGAGATGCAGCTATCTGCTTTTTGAACCACCATCTAGAAGGCTGGTGTTCAGTTAGGCCCTGAAAAAAAAATGAATAGTGCCACAACCCTTGAGAGATCTTTCTAGGGCGGCTCTCTGGATTTCTTGGCCTTCTATTACATGCTCTCTTTAAATCCAATGGATAATTCTGTTCCTGTCGGTCTCACCACATAAAAATGTTTCTCTTCATTTGCCTTTAAACAAACCTGAAAAGTGTCACCTTCTTAATAAAATCTGCATAGTTCTTTCTACCAAGGCTTCATATTTTCATAAAAGATGTGGGCACTAGAGTGAAAGTATTATGAATATTCTAAGATTTTTTTTTTTTTTGAGCCAGGGAATTGCCTGCCTCAACTTCTCAAGTACTAGAATCGTGTATGTGTGCTTATCATGAACAGCTTGGGGAATTTTATTTTAATGGGGACCTTTTTACTAATTAATTGACTGTATGTGTATATAAAGTATGAATGCATATATGTTTCGCACTTTTGAGACAGTGCTACTCTAGGTAGCCCAGGCTGTACTCAAACTGACTATGTAGCCAAAGATGACCTTGAATCAATCCTCCTGCTACTACCTTTCAAATTCTGGTTTGTACCACCATGTCTTGAGAGTTAGAACACATTAGAGGCAGTTTTTAGAGGGAAACTTACCAAACATATTAGGTACACAATTTCATCATTTGCAGGCAACATCTTTGAAATATTTCAAAAGCTTTAGGGGAAATAGAACTTATAACAATGCTACAAGTGATTGTTGGTTTCTTGTTTTATGAATTAACCATTCAATGACTGTCAATTTTATATGGCTTACTCATTAAACACCCTTTTGTCCAAACATTGTGGAATCAATAAGGCTTCAGGGAGCAGGGTAATAAGAATATAAGAAAAAAATCAAGAGGTTTGTGTGATACTCTCAATTTTCCCAATGAAATGATTTATATGGTAAATCTGGGTCCGTTTCTAAACTGAAGAGTTCAGTACAGATATAAGGAGAAATTGCTTAAGTGAAGAAAACTAATACTTCCCTATCAACTTTAGGTCTTATAACGGTTTAAATGAGTCTGGAGCAAGTTCTTCAATGATCTAAAATCAAGTGTGTACTTTGGAAAAACTAGTATGTTATAGATGAGGCTAGCTTGTAATGCTACCCTCCTGCCACACTGTACTCCAATGGTTCTCTGCAAGATCTGCATAGAACAGAATGGGTTTTACGGCCACTCCCTTGATCTTTACACATCCTTTCTCATAATTGTCTTATACCCTGATAAGCTCCAGCAAACAACCCTGCCTGTCAACTGCACAAATGTCTGCCTACTACCACATGCAGAGACATTTCGGCTTGTTCCGCTTTTTGGAGCAAAGCCATGTAGCCTGGACTTTCCACACCTCTAGTAACGGTGAGAGCCGTAGCCAGAGTCTGGAGAGATGCACTCCGAATGGGTTCGGGTAACCCCATGCTTCCATTCTAAGAACCCGAGGACCCTATGGCTTCCTGGCTGACATCCGCAAAGCAACCGCCCACCTCTTCACGACCTTATCGGCGACCACCCTGCCCCCGGCCGGCAGTCGCCAGCCCACCCTGACCTCCTCGAACTGCTCGCCGGAACAGCCGGCGCCACGAGCTTCCAGCAACTCCCGGAACTGCTCCAGGGTGACGGACTCTTCACCGCGGCCCAGCCGCTCTTCCAGCCAGCGCAATAGCGCGCCGTGGTGCCTCGACACCAGGGATTCGCAGGGAGGTGCGGGCCGCAACGCAGCCGCAGCCTCTCGCAGCCGGGCGGGTTCCAGCAGCGCAGCGGCGGACGGCAGCACCGCGGCCGCCGGGCCGGGGCTGGGGGTCGTGCCAGAGTCGGCAGCCCAGTCCTGATGTGGGCTCCAGCCCTCACCCCCGGCGGCCGCTGCTTCGTCTTCGCTGCTGTTACTCGGAGCGTTCCCCATGGGGACTCCGTTTTGGGTGCTAGGAGGTGCCGCCGCCGCCGCCTCCCAGCCACGACCTGTCAACCTCCGGCAGCTCCAGGCGGGCGGGGACGGGGTGGGGACGCCGGCGGCGGCAGCGACTTCCGGCTTCCTGGCCGTGGAGCGAGGCCTGATGTCGCAACGGAGCCGTCAAGCGGATTTTACCAGCTCACGACAGGTAGGTGAAGGCCTGAGAGCACGCCTGTTATGTGTAAGTCATCGTCTAGCCTCCTTTGCCGCCATCTTTGTTGAGGGCAGAGACCATGTAAGCCCAGACGGTCTTTCGGTGCAATTCCACTTTCTCCTCCACGCTTCACGTTCTCAAGCTATGCTGGAAAGGGATGAGAAAGAGTCGGAGCCGAAGGGTGAACTTTACTGAGGCTTGTCGAGCGTCGCGCCGCTGACGTCACGACCGGCGCCTCCGCCATCTTAGTTGTGGCTAAGGAGGTGGCGGTTTCGGAAGTGCGGCTTGTGCGCTGCTGTGTCGATGCTGAGACGATGTGGGCTTGGCGTGGTGCTGAGCCTGGTCGCGGCGGCGGCGGCGGTCGTGGCCATGTGGTTGGTGGACTGGTGGGGTCCCCGCCCTGGCCTTCGCCTCTTCGTACCCGAGGAGCTGGCCCGCTATCGCGGCGGCCCGGGGGACCCGGGTCTGTACTTGGCGTTGCTCGGCCGCGTCTACGACGTGTCCTCTGGCCGGAGGCACTACGAGCCTGGGGCGCACTATAGCGGCTTCGCAGGTATCAGCGAGGCTCTCACACCCTTTCCTCCTGCGCGGGGCCGTAGCCACCCCAGCGGCATGCGTTCGTCCATTGGTTTCTTCATCCGCGCCCCGTCACCCCACGTTCCTGGCTGCTGTGGCAGGAAGGACACGGCTGCACGATCCTGGCTTGGGCCCTCCGGGCGCAGCTATGCTAGTTATAGAGCCGCACGCTTTCTGTCCGCCGCGGTGTGCGACTGATTCGGAGAAAGATGTGTCTCGCTAGCTACTGCTTACATTCATTCAGAAGTCTACCTGGCCTATATAGCTACGGTGCTTTCCGTCACTTTAGAGTGATCCGAGCTAACCTTTACTTCACCCATCCCGTTTCCCCTAAAAAAAAAAAACAACAGTATTTGAGTCGACCTCCCCCCCACCCCCGTTCTAGTAGATGCACTTGTCTGCTTTTCTGAAAAGATAATGAAAAAGAACGGGGAGAATGAAGTTAGAACACAGGAAAGCAAGTAACTCTTACAGTCTTTTTTAATAGCTACGATAAGCCAGAAGTGGTGGTGTTTTGTGGTCCCAGCTATTGGAGTGTCTGAGATTCTTTGAGCTACGAAGATCCATTGGGCCAGGAATTTGTGGCCAGGCTGGCTCAAAAACAAGACGAAACAAATGTTAGAATAAAATGGGGTATGTTTGCCCACCTAAGAACATTTATCAAATTAACTTCATTCTGCTGCCCACCCTCCCCCTTTTAACAATTGAGGGGACTGAAAGATGTCATTTTACTATAAAGTCCTTACAAGAAATGGGTATAATGTCCAGCCTAATAATTTTTAAATTGGTCTTTAAATTTTATTTTATGTGTGAGTGTTTTACCTGCTTGTACATCTCAGAACCACCTGTGTGCCTGGTGCCCAGGGAAGCCAGGAGAGGCTTTCGAATCCCCTGAAACTGGAGGTGTGGATGGTTGTGATGTGCAGTAGGGTGCTGGGAACCTGGGTCCTCCTGGGGAGCAGCCCCTCCTCTTGACCACTGAGCCAACTCTCCAGCTCCCAAGCTAATAATTTAAAAAATGTTGCTTTTCTAGCCGAGGAGACTACCTCTCACTGTTTGGGGAAGAAAAATGCAGGGCAAGCCTAAGGCTGGTGACTAGGTTGACAAAAATTTTAAACTTTCCACTGGTCATTTAGGAGAATTAGGAAGCTGCATTTAAATGCAAATCACTTCCTTCTCTCCAAACTTCAAACAATCCAGAAGAGGAAGGGACCTACTCAGGGACATAGAGAGTCAGAAGCAAAGCTGGACTGGAATCCAGGCTTTTTTTCTTTTTCTTCTTGCCAGTTGACTGCACTTTAGGACACTGTCTTACCAACATCTGATAACCTCTGTCCTGGATGTACACACAGGTTTTGGCATGAACACTTCCACTTCTGGGAGGATCCTTACACAATATGTGCTGGTGTCTGTTGAGTTCTATGTATACAATATTTGACCTCCATTGATTGACTGCTGCTGTGGGTCCTACCTCGGCCAGGTGCTGAGAAATCCCAGATGTCTCTGACTGCCCACACAGTCTATTAGGGAAGCAGATTTGTTCATTTATGCAGTCAGTATTTATTTTTATTGAAATATACTTCACAGAAAACTTATTTTAAAGTGTACAAGTGTTTTTATGTATGCAAACATTACCACCATCGAATTTCAGAACATTTTGCCCATCCCCAAAGGAAACTACCCATTAGCAGCCCCTCTCTATTCTCTACCTCCCCGGCAATTCCTGTGTACATTCTGTTCCTACTGATTCTGTAAGTAGAACCACACACCTCACACATGCTCTTCTTTGGCCTGGCTTTTACTCATCCATAGTGTCTCAGCATGTGGCCGATACTCTTTTTTTTTTTTAAAGGATCAGGTCTTACTACATTGCCCTGGTTGGCCTGGAACTCACAAAGATTAAAAAGGCTTGCCACCACACTCAGCATTTATTCTCTTTTATGACCAAATAATAATTGCATGTTTAAATACTAAACTGCATTTGATAGACTTTTGGGTTATTTCCACTTTAAAATTTAAATGTGGTCAGTGTATATGCTTACAGTGTGTGTGCCACAGCTTGGACATACGGAGATGGGGAGAAAATTTGGAGTCGGTTCCCTCCTTGTTCTTGTTTCTCCCTAGCTGTGCCTTTGAGGCTGGCTGGCCTGTGAGCGTCTAAGATTCTTCTGCCTCTGCCCTTGCTGTGGGAGTGTAGGCATTACAGATGCACACCGCTGCTTTTGGCTCTTATACCTCTGTTCCACTGATTAGACTCCAGTTGTCAGGCTCCTACAACCAGCATTTGTATCCACTTTGCCGTCTTGCTGGCCCCATTTCCACCTCTTATAGAGATCTCTAGTATTAAATTGGTGAATATGTTGTCCGTTCCCCTAGTATTCATCTGGCTGTGGATCTGCTGACTCACATGTTGATTGTTACCCTTTCATGTCTCTGTACCACTGTATATCCCCACAAGGAATGCGTGTGAGTTTCAGTTTCTCCACACATCTGATTTGTTAAACTTGTTAAAAGTTTTGTTTTGTTTTCTAATATTAGGGATTGGATGCAGTGTCATACATGCTGGGTGGTTTTGGTTGTTTTTGACCTTTCTCTTCTTTGGCAGCTCCCAAATAAATCACACATGGAGGCTTGTTCTTAATTATAAATACCCAGCCTTAGCTTGGCTTGTTTCTTGCCAGTTTTTCTTAAATTATCCCATCTATCTTTGGCCTTGGGGCTTTTATATTTCTCTACTCCTGTATACCTTTCCTTTCCTTCTTACTCTGTGTCTGGCTGTGTAGCTGGGTGGCTGGCCCCTAAAGTTCTGCTCTTCTTGTTTTCTTGTTCCTTCTCTTGCTCCTCCTTGATCTCTCTTCTTCCCAGATTTCTCCTTCTATTTATTCTCTCTGCCTGCCAACCCCACCCATCCTTTCTCCTGCCTCGCTGTTGGCTGTTCAGCTCTTTATTAGACCATCAGGTGTTTTAGACAGGCACAGTAACACAGCTTCACAGAGTTAAACAAATGCAACATAAACAAATACAACATATCTTTACATCATTAAACAAGTGTTCCAGAGCATAAACAAATGTAACACATCTTAAAGTAATATTCTCCAACAGCTAGGTGAGCATTTTATTGCTAAAATACATCACCAATTTCTCCTCCTACTTCATTTTTTAGATGAAGTCTCATATAGCCCAGGCAGTCCATGAATACACAGCAATCCTGGCTCTTAATGTCTTTTTATTGTAGTGATCCTCGTGGGTGTAATGCGCTGTCTCCTCTGTATGCCTGTCCATGCGGAAATGACGAGCATGCCCTGCTGTGTCTTTGTGTCTCCCTGGGTGCCAGGAATCCAAACTCAGGCCCTCCAATTTGCAAAGCAAGTACTTCATTGACCTGGCATCTCTTACTAAAGCCCAGTTTTGTGATATGTTTTTTAAAGGGAAAAGTAAGTTTACCAAAGCCTCTAACATAGTCAGGGAGGAGGAAAGTGGAAGACAATACCATAAGAAAGTGACTAGATAAGGTTGGTGGCAAATGCTACTGAGGTAAGGATTTTGGATATTCTCATAAGGCAAAGGGAGGCTCTGAGGATTTTGGCAGAAAATGACATGGTGATTTGTCTTTTTTTGGGGGGGGGGCGTTGGTTTTTGGAACAGGGTTTTTCAGTGTAGCGTTGACTGTTCTGGAATTTGCTCTGTAGATCAGGCTGGTCTCGAACTCACAGAGATCCTCCTGCATCTGCTGAGTTACTAGGGTTAAAAACATATGCCACCACTGTCCAGCAACAAGGTGTTTTTTGTTGTTGTTGTTGTTGTTGTTGTTTTGTTTTTTTTTGTTTGTTTTGTTTTTTTGTCCAGAGCCAGGTAAGATGGCATTTGCCTTTAATCCTAGCACTCTGGTGGCAGAGACAGGCAGATCTGTGTTCAAAGCCACTCTGGTCTACAGAGCAAGTTCCAGGATAGCCAGGACTATACAGAGAAATGCGGTCTTGAAAAAAAACAAAATATAAAATATCAGTCTAGGGAGCTGGGCATGATGCCATGCACCTTTAATCCCAGTACTCAGAGACAGATAGGCCAGTGTCTGAGTTCTAGGCCAGCCTGGTCTATGTAGCAAGTTATAGGTCAGCCAGAGCTACATAACATAGTAAGATCCTGTCTCAAAAAACAAAACCAATAGAAAACAGTGTAGTTCTGGAGACTCACTCATCAGTTACGAGTGCTTGCTGCTGTTCCAGAGCACCTGAATTGAGATCTTAGCACCGATGTTGGATGGCCCCCTCAAGTGTTTATGCACATAAACACAGACATGTATACACATATGGCATACACACACACACACACACACACACAATTTATAGCAATAAAATAAAATGCTAGTCTGAGTGTTACCTGAAGAATAGTTTGGTAGAATGAAATGTGGTCCCACTAGGGGTCCTCTGTGGTAGTTCACCTGAGAGATGATGGCATACTGGGATTGTTGGGTAGCAGGTAGAGACAGGTGAATGAATACAGGAACTATTTAGGAAGAAAATACTCTGGCACTAATTAGATGGGGGGATAAAAGAGGTATCAAGCCTGCATTTATAGATTGGGCAACTGGTGATAAGGAACACCAGAGGAGATTAAATGACCATTTCCTAGGACTGATGACCAGTAGCTCAAAATAGGCTTTTGAACTTGTGATGGCAATGAGACAGCTAAGTGACATTGAGTAGAAGTTGGATATACAAGTCTAGTGCTCAGGAAATGCCTGGGCTAAACATACAGCCTAGATGGGGGATCTGAAACCACATGGGTGGATAAGATGGTCAAGTGAGAAGGTGCAGATAATAATTGATCCCTAGGGCTAAGTAGACAGGTGCTGGGAAAACCAGGAGTGGAATGTCATGGAAGCCAGAAGTTACCATTTTGAATTTATCAATTGAATAGTATTGAAATTAAATAAAAGCTGATGGGCTAGGTGTGGTGGTGCACGCCTTTATTCCCAGAACTTGGAAGGCAGGCACATCTCAAAAAACCAAGTGGATAACAGTTACCAAAAATTCATGTTCCTGGTCCAAGAGGTCCCTGGGAGGTAGAAACAGGCAGATCTCTGTGAGTTAAGCCAGCCTTGTCTGTGAGTTCCTGGACAGCCAGGACTACACAGAGAAACTTGAAGAAAAAAAAAAGGGGAAGAAAGAAATTTTACTTGGTAAAATATTGTGATTTGGGCTGGAGATGGCTCAGAGGTTAAGAGCACTGACTGCTCTTCCAGAGGTCCTGAGTTCAATTCCCAGCACCCACATGGTGGCTCACAACCATCTGTAATGAGATCTGGTGCCCTCTTCTGACCTGTAGTCATACGTGCTGTATACAAAATAAACAAATAAATCTTTTAAAAAAAATATTGTGATTTATAACCAAATCTTTGGCAACTTCTTTCCTGAAGGCCGGGATGCATCTAGAGCGTTTGTGACAGGAGACTTTTCTGAAGCTGGACTCGTGGATGATGTAACTGGCTTGTCCTCCTCTGAGATACTGATACTTAAAAATTGGATTTCATTCTACGAGAAGAATTATGTATTTGTCGGTATGTAGTCCTTGACTGTAGATTTCAGTTGCTTATCTTGCCGTGTTTTTCAGGGTACCTGGATTCTTTAGGAACTGGGCTCAAGGTAAAAATTTGAAACCAGCCCTGGGGTTTTCACATTAGGTTCTTGCTGGTAGTGTAGGAGTAATCTGTGGGAGGCCAGCTCCCACCTTTTCCAGGGTTCCTATGAAGAGGAAAGAGGAAAAGAATTTTTAGATAGAAAGATAGCAGAAATGAGACAGACAGAAACACAGGATAGCTTTGGGAGGACCTGGGTCAAGACCCAATGGCTCCTTCTATCTCTTCAAATGGGCGTTTTATAACAATGCCAAGGGGCAAAAGACCTCCCCCTTGCTAGATCAAAGCATACTGCAAAGCCAAGTGCAGACCCTTCCAAACACCTGGTAACCATGCCCATGGTCCAGTCCTATGCAGACCTGCTGGGTAAAGCAAGCTCAGATCTCACTAGGAAACTTCTATGGGTCTCCACAGTAATCCTCAGAAGAAGATGAAATTGTGGATAACCTTGGGAGAGTATTACCAGGCCTTATACTCTGATGTCAGTGGCCCCCAGTCAGTATCATCTGCGTTGGATACAGCCAGCTCCAGGAGGCATCCTCCCTGTGGCTCCAGGACCGTTAGGAAGGCTTGAAGCCACTTGTTCATGGTTCTGAGGCTTCCTTTTGATTGCTCTCTGATGAAGCAGACATCTTGAGTGAACTGTTTCTGGGATGGAAGATGTGCCAATCACACATTCATTTATTCATTCATTCAGGGTTTCATGCAGCCTGGCTGGTCTCAAACTCACTATGTAGATCAGGCTAGCCTTGAATCCCTGATCCTACTGACTCCATCTCATGTATTAATGCCAGTTGTGTGTTGTCCTGCATTTATTGCTTACTGGTGATACATGAGGGATGTAACTCTTTTTTTTTTTTTCCTTGATTTTTTGAAACAAGGTCTCATAGAACCCAGGCTGGCCTCAAACTTGTTGCATAGCTGATGTTGACATTGAAGTCCTGATCCTCCAGTTTCAATGCCCCTACTGTAGCAAGTATTCTTGTCAGACTGTCTTTGGACCTCCAGCCCACAAATAATGACCTGGGGACTTTTATTAATTATGAAATGTTTGCCTTAGTCGAGGCTTTTTCTCAACTAGCTCTTATAACTTAACCCATTTTTTAGGTCTACATTCGGCCACGTGGCTTGGTTACCTGTTCTTTTTATGGCACATCCACCTTGCTCTGAGTCTGCTGCTGAAATCTCAAACCTAGATTCCTCCTCCCAGTCTCTCTCTCTGTCCAGAAGTCCTGCCTATACCTCCTGCCTAGCTGTTGGCCATTCGGCTTTTTATTACACCAATAACAGCAATACATCTTCATACAGTGTACAAATATCCTACAACACAGGAGTGTGTTCAGTGCAGTTCCTGCCAAAGCTTTGGCATGGAGACCATCTAAGGCATGAGGGACATCAGAGGATAAAGACCAATTTCCAAGGATCGTATTGACTTGGACACAGTTAAGGAGCCATCATTGTAGTCGCACAGCTGCACCTCAGGGGAAATGAGGCAGGTTTTGTTGTGCTCTGGATACACATTTAAAGACCCAGCTGGCAAACCTGTTCTCATAATACAGCATCTAAAACTCTGCCTCTGCTCCTGTTAGCCTCTCTTTGGATATCATGTCTCAACAAGATAGACTCATCCCATGCCATACAAAGCCCTCTGTACCAAAAATTTGGTTATAAGCCAACCTAAAGATGTCTAATCTGACACTAAGGTCCTGATCTGTCATCTATTCATGTAGCAAACATTTAAAACAGATGCTCTGAGCCAGACAGCAGTGGCACACGCCTTTAATTCCAGCACTCAGGAGGCAGAGGCAGGCGGATCTCTGAGAGTTCGAGGCCAGCCTGGTCTACAGAGCAAGCTCCAGGAATGGTGCCAAAACAATACAGAGAAACCCTGTCTCGAAAAAACAAAAACAGATGCTCTGTATGAGACTGTTTTGAGTACGGGGCCTCGCAGGACACTTTCTGACTAAGCAGACATCTCCGCACAGGGCTGTGATGACAGAAAAACGGACCTAGCAGAAGGAAGGGTAGCCATACTGAGATCTGGGGAGAGTGTAGCAGGCTGAGGGAGGAGTGGTGCCTGAGGTGGGCATCAGCAAGGCCTGCTCAGGCACTACAGAAAGTGCTGGAGCACGGGAAGGAGGGGCAGGTGGCTTAGGGAGAGGCAGAGTAGACAGACGAACGGTGGGACCTGGGCGCCTTGGGAAGAAGTTTGTGTGTTATTTGTGTTTTTAGTAGCTACCGGAGGTTTTAGTCAGGCATAGAGGAAACGTAGGAGTCGTGTTGAAAAGAGTACTCAGCTGGGCGGCGGTGGTGCATGTCTTTAATCTCTGCACTTGGGAGGCAGAGGCAAGCAGATCTCTGTGAATTTGAAGCCAGCCTGGTTTTACAGAGCGAGTTCCAGGACAGGCTCCAAAGCTACACAGAGAAACTCCGTCTACAAAAAACAAAAAAAAGTACACAGGGGGCTGGAGAGCTAGATGTCTCAGTGGTTAAAAGCACTGGCTGCTCTTTCAGAGGACCAGATTGAGTTCTCAGTACCACATGGTAGATTATCTGTAACTCTGGTTCCAGGGGATCTAATATGCACTGTCCCTTCTGAGCTCCATGGGCACTGCATACATGTGGTGCACAGACATAGGTTCAGTCAAAACACTCATATACATAGAAATTTAAAAACAAAAAGAGCATCCAAATTAGGACTATGATTCTAAAACTTGCAAAACTGAGACAGGAGAATCAGAAGCCTCAGGCTGGATACCGAGGCCTGTCTCGAAATAAATTACAGGTTACTAGGTAAGGACATACCTGAGTGGCAGAACACTCACTCACCATGCGTGGAGCCCTAGTTGTGCTCTGAGCACTGGGGGGGGGGGGGGGGGAGGGATGGAAATGCCCCAGATGCTTTGTGGAGGAAGTACTATAGGAAAGCCTGAGCTGCAGCAGAGGCCAGCTGGAAGGTTGGATAAGGTAGCAGCCGTGGAAATGGACAGGAATGGACAATCAGAATATATTTCAGAACTGACACTTGGTAGTTGCTTTCATAGCTTAAATATTAAGAAAATTTGAAAGCCATTTTAAAAACTATTGTCCACTCTCTTATGTCCACTAAGGACTTCAGAAGAAGGTGGTGGAGGAGAAAGCATGGGCTCTGAGCTGCTCTAACTAACTAACTAGTTCTGTAAGACCAAGTAATTGGACATGGACCCCAAAAAATGTGGGTTAATAAACTGTATGTTCACTCAACATTACTAAATACTCAGTGTTCCCCCAAGCACTACAGAGCATTGATAAATGTGTCACACACATTCTGTTTTCAGGGAACTGATGTTGTCTGGAGGTGATAAAAATGTGATCATTTCCATGTTGGCAGCTAGCTGACTCTTTAGCCCCAGCTAACCAGAATCACAGATTCTAAACTCAAAATAGCAAATGGCGCTGATAGAGTCTTTAAGTGATTTCAGATATCCTCTGGAATTTCGCAAACCAGGCCTCCATCATCTGCATCTCTCAACACGCTTATCTTCCATGCGCCTCCCATAGAACAGCTCACCAAGCTTTGAACACTCAGTGACTTTTCTAGCCCAAAGTTCCAAAGTCCTTCTACAATCCTCCCCGAAACAACTGGCCAGGTGTGTCACAGCAGTACCTGGTGACTTTGGTGCCAGTTTCTGTTGTAGGGTTTCTATTAAGGTGCCGAAACACCATGCCCACAAGGAACTTGGGGAGAAAAGGGTTTATTTGCCTTACCCTCTCTGCTGCTCTGCCCTTTTCCTTGTTATCCCAGGGAGACTGGTTGGAAGGTTCTACGGAGAGGATGGGCTGCCCACTCCAGAACTAACCCAGGTGGAGGCCATGGTGGCCAAAGGCGCGGAGGCAAGTGAACAGCAACAGAGGGAAAAGGGCAGGTTCCCTCCCTGCAATGCCGAGTGGAGCTCTGCTAAGGGGAGCCGGGTCTGGTGCTCCCGGAAGAGGTACGCAGCCTTCCCTTCTGCTCCACACCTCTCCTGAATCCAGCTCCTAAGCCACCCTTTTATTATCTATTATTTGTTATTCAGGGAATCCACAACTGACTGCTAAGCTAGGGAGCTTACATGTGCTGCTGTACATGTTAGATCTTCTGAGTTATATTCATTTACATACTGAAAACACCTGAATGAAGCAATTTAAGGGAGGCAAGATTGAACCAGTTTTAAGGTTGTAGAGGGTACAGTCCACCATAGCAGAAAAGGCATGGTAGAGAGGCTTGGTGTGTGGCCGTGGAGGTGTGCAGCTACCAGTTCTCATATCATTACAGATGGGGATCTGAGGTTGTGCCGGAACCAGCAGGAGACACAACCTTTAAGGCCTGCCTGCCCCAGTGAGTTACTTCTAGCTAGGACTCAGGTACTTCTACAACCTCCCCAAACTGCTCTAGCATCTAGGGACCAAGTTTTTCAAATCTACGGACCTGTTGGGGACATGTCATATTCAAACCACAGAGGGGGATTAAAGGAAAATCCTGATAGTAGGACCTTCAGTACCCGAAAGAAAACCTTAGGGTTGAGAAAGGCCTGAGACCTGGGCCTCTTCCTCGGAACCCTCTCAGTCTCCCCGAGATCCTGCTAAGGGAGAAATGCTGCTCTGGGAATTCGATGGCACAGGTACTATTTCTTTTTTAAAATTCATTTTAGTTTGTGTGTATTGGGAGTGTCTGTGTATGTATGCATATGTAGGCCTGCGGAGGTCAGAAGAGGACATTGAATTTCCTGGGACTAGGGTTATAGGCAGTTGTGAGTGGCCATGTGGATACTGAGAACCTAACCCAGGTGCTCTGCAAAAGTAGCAAGTGCTCTTAACTGCTGAGCCATCTCTCCGGCCCATAAAGTTTCATGATTTTCTTTTCTTTTTAATTTTTATTTTTAAGTGTGTATATACAGGGTTGGAGAGATGGCTTAATGGTCAAAAGCACTTGTGTCTCTTACAGAGGGATCCAGCACCCACTTGGTGGCTCACAGCCATCCATAACTCCAGTTCCAAGGGATCTGATGCCCTCTTTGGACTTCTGCAGGCACCAGGAACATATATGGTACGCATATATACACACAGATAAAGCACTCATACATATAAAATTTTAAAAAAGTCATGTGAATGTAAATGCCCAAGAGTCCAAAGATCTTGGGTCCCCTGGAACTGGAGTCAGAGGATGTTGTGAGCTATCAGTGTGCGTGCAGGGACCCAGACTCAAGAGGAGCAATATGTGCTCTTAACAGCTGGGCTTTCTCTAGCTCGGGTACTACTTCTTGACTACTTCTGCCTGTTCAGCCAGAGATGAAAATCATTCCTACCCGCCTGCCCGCCCACAGGAGAGTGGGGTGGGAGGTAGACCCATTCTTTGATGCCCTCAGGTACTGTTTTATTTTTATTTTCTTTGCAACATAATCTCATGTGGAGATCCTAGATCGACCTGGAACTCTCTGTTCAAGGGTAACCTTGAACTTCTGATCCTTCTGTCTCTACTGAGACCAGGAGTTAGCAGCACCCACCACCATCATGCTGGGTTTATGCAGTGCTAGCCATGGTCTGACCTCAGGGCTGTGTGCAAGCTCTGCCAATTGAGCGACATCCCAGATGTTTGTAAAGCACTGTGGTGACTGGAGTGTAGCTTAATGGTGGAGCACTTGCTGAACATGGCCCTGGGTTCAATCCTTAGCACTGTTAAAAGCAAGGCAACAAACCATAAAAAAACAAAACATAAAAGCCCTAGTATTTCCGGGAAGTGCAGGCTGGATAGAAGTCTCTTCCTGCGCAAGCGCGGTGCAGTGAGAGGGGCTGCTAAGCGGGGTGCCGTAGAAGTGATTCCAGACATGGTCTTGTCTGCTTTCACCGTCTGGTCAGCCACACTCAGACTGCAGCTCTGCTCTCTCACGGCTCCTTTAGCTCTGGGGAGGTGACACTGGAAACCAGAACTAGACAAAGCTCCTAGATGCAAAGGATCAAACCAACAGTCAGGCTCTTCCTGAGGAGGACTGGGGAGAGGGCCACACTCCTGTGTGCTAAGCTGTGTAGGGCTGCCTTCTTTTTTGGTTTTTTGTTTGTTTGTTTTTTGAAGATAGGATTTCTTTTTGTAATAGTCCTGACTGTCCTTGAACACTCTCTGTAGACCAGTACTGGGATTAAAGGCATGCGCTGGCCGCCGCCGCCGCTGCCGCCGCCGCCGCCACCACCACCACCACCACCAGCATAGAGCTGCCTTCTTCCACCAGGGATCTATCTATCCATTGAGTAGACAGAGCAAACAGCCAAAGCCACCGGCTTTCTCCAGGGGTAGCCACTGTACCATCCTTTCTGCTTTAATTCGGGCAGTAAAGTGAGGGTTCAAAAAGGAAACTTTCAGAAACATGGCTTTTATGGCACTATTGGAGCCTGGTCTCCCACCTAACAGGACAGTCTGAGACCTGGCTGTCCTTCTTGGGACACATCCTGGATATAAGCAGACTCAGAAGGCACTGGGGATATAGGAGGAGCTAGAATCCCGTGGTGTTCAATTAGATGCCCCCTGTACCCCTTGAGAGCCTCCCCTCCCCCAAGATGCTTCTGTCTCATGAACTCCTTGGCATTCAGGACTGCATTGCTCAGGCCCTGTCTCCCACAGAGTCTTCCAGAGCTGTTCCTGAGCCCCACCCGGTGTTGTTTTCTATTGACTTGAGTGCCTCTGAAAGGAGCTCTGTGAGCGGGGACCAGGTGTAGAGTAAGGATTCCTGGTGGAGTGGACAGCTGGACCGAGAAAGGAGTCATTTTGGTACCTAAGCAGCTCTGCTCATGGATAAGATACAAGTAAAATGGTTTCTAACAGTGCCAGTTCCTCTAGCAACCTGTGATCCTGGTCCCGAGCACTGGAGCCCAGGGTCAGTTTCATAACTGTCACTTTCCTTCAGCAAGGCCTCTGAGTCTGCCAACTATCAAATGCAGTACCCTGAAGTAAGTTAGGTTCTTCTGCCCAAGATAGGAGGTTGCCATGGTATGCTGGGCCAGAGTGGAGTCCTCCTTCCCTGAAACCCAGCAGTCTCAGGAGTTGGAGCCATGCAGAGCCAGCACAGCTTGTTGCCACGCTAATGTCAAGGCCCACCCTCCCAAGTTCAAGCCCAAAGATGAAGATGCTGCTTAGCATGGATGGGAAGGACAGAGGACCAGGGCTGCTCACTGGCTTGTCAGGGAGACCTCTCAGTCACTAGCACCAGCTCAGGGGAGTGGCACTGCTGCTGCTTGGGAAAGAAGAGGGGGTGGGGCAAGGGCCCAGGGCAAGGAACATGGATGCTGGCTTCCTCCTGGAGACGGGAGTATTAGCATTGTGTGTGGAAAGCCTGAGAAATAGGAGAGCTTGTAGCCAGCTTGAGATAGGAAGTGGAATGAAGGGCTGCTTCTTTTCATAACACCCTGCAAGCCCTCCTCTTGCCCCGGGGGCTTGTGAATTCATGCTTTTAAGAAGTCTTCTTTCCCTTTTTCCTAGTGGAGGTGTGAACAGAGACTGGACTGGTGTCCCCAGGAAGCTGTATAAGCCAGGGGCCATGGAGCCCCACTGTGTGTGTGTGAGAACAACTGGCCCCTCTAGTGACCAGCAAGACAACTCTAGACACCTAAATCGTGGGGACTTGGACAACCCCAACTTGGAAGAATACCCAGGCTGCTCACCTCTGGCCATCGAGTGTTCCTTCCCACCCTAAGATGGTGTCCTGTATGTTGATGACACATGGAGAACCTTCCCTAGATCTCCAGAAAGCCCTTAATATTTATGCTCTAGGAGGCTCCGGGCAGGAAAATAGGAGGATCAAGGACTCCACCCTCACTCTGCAAATGTGTTTCACAATTCTGTTGGCTGAAACAGGAGCATGATAACCTACCTGGTATGGTCAGTTTGTCTTGACACTATTTGGAACCTTGGCCCCTGTCATCTTCCTTCAGAGCCTGCAGTCATTCATGAACACAGCGTGGTGATCAACATAGACCTGCCTGGAGAAAGTCTGTGAGCTCCAGCAAGGCACTTCCCACGGACTCACTGCTGCCCTGATGAAAGCCTGGGCTCTGCCATCATGCCAGTCCTGCTGAGACTTGGAGCAGTAGCAGAACAAGACTGTGGCTCTCAGCAGAGAAGCAGGCATGTCCCAAGAAGCCTCGAATCTTGCAGAATCAAGGTAACTGTTCTAAGTCACAAGGTAATTGACTAAGTTCCCAATGTCTGACTTTTGTGACATTTCTAAAACCTCTACTCCAAGGCAAACTTGAATTTTAATTTATTTTTTTATTTTTTATTTTTTTTATTTTTTATTTTTTTTGGTTTTTCAAGACAGGGTTTCTCTGTTACAGCTTGAGCTGTCCTGGAACTCATGTTGTAGACCAGGCTGGCCTCAAACTCACAGAGATCCTCCTGGCTCTGCCTCCTGAGTACTGGGATCAAAGGCGTGCGCCACCACCGCCCAGCTGGCAAACTTGAATTTACTGACTCCATCAGAGCTGGGCTGGTACAGTGAGATGTGATAATAAACTGGGATGGGCTGATTCTGGGATAGGAAAGCTTTTGCTCACAAGGTAGAGCACACGCAGATTCCCCCTGCCTGAGTGTGCATTAAACAGCTCACTGCCCTATCATTAGTGAAACGTTGTCCCTGCCCCCCAGAAGTTTCTGTAACTACCCCACATGTTGAAGGGCTTCTGTCCCAGGCTTCTCAGCTCATTCCCTGCAGAATTCCCCTGCCTGCTCGGCAGGGGTCTGTTCTCACCTGCTCCTGGAGCTCTGGCTATCCTGACATGGAACTCACAGGGATGGATCCATCTGCCTCTGCCTCTCAAGTGTTGGGATTAAAGGCCTGTGCCACTATACCTTGCTAATTCTTACCTATTTTGATCTCTGCTACTTTTTAAAAATTTACTTGGCTTTTTGAGACAGGATTCATGTATCCAGGCTAGCCTTGAACTCGGTAGGTAGACATGTGGTACCATGCCCAGTTTATACAGTCCTAGGGATTGAACCAGAGTTGTATGCATGCTAGGCAAGCACATTACTAACTGAGCTACAGCCCTAGGCCCTTGATCTTCATTTGTCTTGACTATTGACCATGATGTCCTGCAAGGTCCCCATAAAGCCCTCACTTACTGCACTGATCCCACCAAAGCTCTTCCACGTCTCTGAAAGCTTCATCCCCAGGAACCTTCTCCTTGGCTTTTCTTTCTCCTACTTCAGGCAGCACATTGCTAGGCAGTATCTCTAATCCAAAGGGCTTGATAATAAAGAAGTCTGTGAGCTCTTTCTGGAGGCACTGCAAATCCCACATTGCCTTTTTTCTTTAGCATACATGATGTCTATGTGTGCATATATCAGTGAAATGTGGTTAGATGTCTTCCTGTATTTCTCTCCACCTTCTATAAGACAAGGTCTCTCACTGAACCTGTAACTCTTATTTGACAAGACTAGTTGGCCAGCAAGTTCCAGGAATCTGTCACTTCCTTCCCAGTGCTAGGCTCCAGGTGTCTATCATCATGACTGGCTTTTTACAGAGATCAAACTCCAGGCCTTCTGCTTGTATGGCAAGTACTTGATCAACTGAATCATCTCCCCAGCCCTACAAACCCCACATTGCTAATGCCTTCATCCTCTCTGTCACCAGATGTCATAGCTTCAGCTGTCAACTTGACACAAACTTAAGAGTCACCTGGAAAGAGAATCTCAACTGAAGAATTGGCCAGATCACATTAGCCTGTGGCATGTCTGTGGGGCATTTTCTTTCTTTCATTTGTTCTTAAAAAACAAATAGACAAACAAAAATCAATGTTTCTCTATGTAGCCCTGGCTGCCCTGGAACTTGCTATGTGACCAGGCTGGCCTCAAACTCATAGAGATTCCATCTGCCTCTGCCTCCCAAGTGCTGGGATTAAAAGCATGAAGAAGCACTGTGACTGATCCCTTTATATCCCTGTGTGTGCACATGGGGACTAGGTTTTTTTTTAAATTGCTAATTGAAGGCACATGGCGGGGGTGCACACCAGTCTGCTGTGGGCTGTGTCACCCATGAGCAGGTGGGCCTGGTTGTACAAGAAAGGTAGCTAAAGCCAGGCATGGAGGTTCACACTTTTAATCCCAGCAGAGGCAGGTGGATCTCTGACTTTGAGGCCAGTCTGTTGTACAAGAATGAGTTCCAGGACAGCCAGGGCTACACAGCAAGAAAAAGGTGTCTGTCAGCTGAGCAAGTCAGCTAGCAGCATTGCCCCATAGTTTCTGCTTCATTGGCTTCTGTTGATTTCCCTCAGTGGTGAACTGTTACCTGGAAGTGTAAGATAGAATAAATTCTTTCCTCCCCAAGTTGGTTTTGGTCAGGACACCATATGACTACTGCCACCATCCCTACTCTGCCCCCGGGAGAAGCCTGGCAGGTGGTCGGAACTCCTGCCTCCCGGCCAGTCTGCATCCTTGAGTCCTGTCTGCTAGCTCTTCCTCTTTATCTCTCCTCCTTCTGGTGTGTTTTTAGGTTGGCAGATCTTGCTATTCCACTGGCTTCCCTGCTGTGGTAGGTCATCTTTCTTCATGATGATCAGGGTAATCCCCACTTAAACCTCCCAGTGTGTCTTAGGGTTTCTATTGCTGTGAGAAACACCATGACCAAAAGGCAAGTTGGGGAGGAAAGGGTTTATTTTGCTTACACTTCAGCATTGTTTTTTTATCACTGAAGGAAGTAGGACAGGAACTCAAACAGAGCAAGGTCCTGGAGGCAGGAGCTGATGCAGAGGCCATGGAGGGGAGCTGCTTACTGGCTTGCTCAGCTCACTTTCTTATAGAACCCAGGACCCGAAGCCCAGGGGTGGAACCACTCACCATGGGCTGAACCCTCCCCTACTGATCACTAAATGAGGAAATGCCTTACAGCTGGATCTCAAGGAAGCATTTCCTCAGCTGAGGCTCCTTCCCCTCTGATGACTCTAGCTTGTGTCAGGCTGACACACAAAACCACCCAGTACACAGGGGCTCTATTGGGGAGGATCTTTGAGGATCACATCAGCACTGTGGCAGAGGGGTCCCCTGCATTGCCTGTCTGGCAGCTATTCCTTCCCTATGTGCCATGCATGCTGTCTGGTCTTGCTCTATGTAATCCCTACATACAAACTCTTCCTTCTGGGGAATCTCTCTCCCTCACTCCATTAGTCTTCTGTTTATTTTTCAACAGTCCTGTCTACAGAGGCCCTGAGTACCTTCATTAGCCATAGTCCCACAGAGTAGATTTCAACTCCTGCCCAGCTCTCCACCAGCACTTGGTTGCTCAACTCTTGTGGGCATGGTGGTGCAACCCTTGAATCCTAGAGGCAGAGACAGGCAGATCTTTGAGACTAGCTTGATCTAAATAGCAAGTTCCCTACAGTCCAGGGCTATAGTGAGACCCTGTACCATCCCATTCCCACCCCCACAAAAGGTTTTACCCTCATGGGCTTGAATGATGAATCTTGTCAGCTTCACACTGGACACACTGGACTGATTCATACATTCGTGGACCATGAGCATTATGTTTGCACTCCCAGGGCAGGAACTCACAGTGAACTAATCAAGGACCTTGTTCTGAATTCTAGACAGCCCTGAGCCTGGTTCCTGAGTGCTGGGATTAAAGGGGGTGGGACATCCAAGTTCATAAGAAGCCCCTACAGAATGACCTAGATCACACAGCTAGTCTGAGTCTGGGTGGGCAAGCAAAAGGAAAGTGGGCTAGAGAAAAGAACACATTCGTCCAAGGAAGTATCCGGAAGACCCGCTCACCAGAATTTTATTCCTTTTTCATGCTAGAGTTGAACAGCTTTATGGACCAGATTTTAATCTGCAGGCCCCTAGACCTTCCTTGACATTCTCTGAAGCCCACAGTGCCAGCCCCCACCCCTTTTCTTCATATTGGCCAGTGGTAAGCTCATCATGGGTGATTCCTTATGAAATAATGGAATAAAGGAGTCCAGGATTCTCTGGACAATTTCCACGGGCCAGACAGCTGAAACTCCATCAGCACTCACATGCATCATGGAAACTTGCACTTGGGAGGCAGGGAGAGAGTACAGCAGCTGCTCACGCTACACAAAACACTTACTTTGTGACAGCTGCCAATATGTGTCACATAAAATAGAGAATTTGAAATGTAAAGGGTAGCTGCTCTAGATGTTTGTTCACATATCAATTTTTTTTGTTTGTTTGTTTTTTTGTTTTTCGAGACAGGGTTTCTCTGTGTAGCTTTGCGCCTTTTCCTGGAACTCACTTGGTAGCCCAGGCTGGCCTCGAACTCACAGAGATCCGCCTGGCTCTGCCTCTCAAGTGCTGGGATTAAAGGCGTGCGCCACCACCGCCCGGCCAATTTTTTAAATGTATTATATTCTTTTTATTACTTTGAGTACTTTGCCTGCATGTATATCTGTGTATCACATGTATGCCTGGTGCTTGAGGTTGTGAGTTTCCATGTGGGTGCTGGGAATGGAACCCAAGTCTTTTGTAACAGTTGCTTTTAACAACTGAGCCAACTCTCCAGCCCTCATATCTTTAGTTCTTTGAAACAGGGTTTCTCTATGTAGCTGTGGCTGTCCTGGAACTAGCTCTGCAGACCAGGCTAGCCACAAACTCACAAAGATCCCCCTGCCTCTGTGATAACAAGTGTGTCCCACCACTGCCTGGCTCAATTTTTTAGAATTTTTTTTTTTTAATGTTCATTGGTACCTCTGGATTAGAAGTAGCTATAACATAAATGTCTTTAATTAAAGCTTCCACTTAAGATTCACAATTTTGCCTCATTTTTATTATAAGGAATTATTACAGAAAATGAAAATATCAATATTTGAAAAATACATTCCATTACACAGACTCCAAAGAAACAATGCTGCTAAGCGCCATGGTCCCAGATGATGCTGTCATTCCCACACTGAGCACCACCAGAGTGGTTTGGAAGCCAAAGTGATCTATCCAAACATGTGCCTGCAGTTTTAAAGGCCCAGCTGCTGCCTTGTCCTTGGTCCTACAAGGATGTCACAGAACACCCAGCTCCACACGGCTCACAAACAGGCAAGTCAGTAAGTCCAGCCATCCCCAGACTCCCTTGCTATAGAAAACCAGTGCTGTCAGTTGTAACAGTTAATGTATTATTTACGCCACACGAAAGAGGAACTGTATAGGCAGTGATCCTCCAGAGAAAGGCTTTAAGGCATCTTTGACCTTGGGAATTTAACTATTTAGTTAACCAGTCACACACTCAGGTTTTCATTAGATCAGTTCTGTAGTGAGCATGGCTCAGAGGCCTTTGCTGAGCTGCTTCCTCTGTTGGGCTGGCAAGGGAACTCTTTGGCTTCAGGTGGCTCTAGGGGGCTGGACCTGAAGGAAGCCCGTGTTTGTGAGGGAGGCATACATGTACTTGTACATGATGCTATTGCTGCCTCTCAGGCCGAAGTATTTGGCAGTTCAGCCAAGTTCTTTTCTCCAAGTAAGGAAATCCTAGATGGAGGCTTTGCCATCCACCCCTTGTCTGCGAACAAGCCTAGGGCTGGAACAGTTGAGTATGGGGGGCAGGCACGACTTGGGAAGGGCAGTGAGACCACACACCCAGTTCCCTGAAAGACCCATTCAAGGAAAAGGAGGAAGCTGACAGTCAGAAACAACTCAGGGCTCTGAGGTAGAGGATAAAAACATCATGTGGACCCCACTCCTTGGAGAGAATATGGCAGGTGAACTGAGCAGTCTAATATTCAGCCTTGACTGAATTGGTTTTTGGGGTGGAATAGGCCCAGAACTAGTGTTGTAACACATCACTGAGTGAGACACCAGTGAAAGACAACTGGAAACAAGGGAGTCCTCAGTGTAGGCACTTAAGCTGGTGGGACATCGCTGTTAGAGGATCATAGCAAACTAGTTTCAGCACATGGTTTGTACCTGTCTTTAAAAAAACAAAAGCCCTAATGATGCAGTACACCGTAAGACTAGAGATGCATAAGAGCAGTTAAACAGCTAGGCAAGCACAGCAGTGCTAACTGATGCAGCAGTTGTGTTTCAGTGATGTTGATTCTTCCTGCTCTGCTCATTCACAACTGGCAACCTTTTGAATTAATAAAATGAAGTTTTGCTGCAAGTTGTCAAGGTACTGATTAAGACTGAACAAGAACAGCTAAGCAGTTTCATGGTGAAGTCTGGTCAGCACGGAGAGAGCACAGGAAAGACACAGAAGTCTGGTCCTGGCCAGGGCAGTGCACAGCAGGAGTGTAGGGCAGGGAGCATGGATGGCATGGTCAGGCTGTGCAAGGATGCCTGAGCCATGTCTACAGCATGGGTACCAATGCCCAAGTCACACAGCCTCTTTCCGCCATAGCTGGTCACTATGTTGACCTCTGAAGGAATAGAAGCTTGAACCCACATATTTTGGGGCATGATCTTCAGGTTTTAAGTACAGTTATAGGCAAAACTGTTACTGAAACTGGTGTTGTAGGGCAAGGACAAAATGGTCGGCTTCATCCTGATTTCCTATTTTCCCCTCTCCACTGTGATCATAAAAAAAACAAGTTTATGTGTACCAACCACCTTGGTTCATAGCAGAACCATAATTACCTTCCTCATTAAAAAAAAAAAAAAAAAAAATCATGGTACCAACTAAATTCTAGGGCTCTGTGATCTCCTTTAGGCAACAATAAATTGGAAACAGACCACATGCTTCCTTCATATAGTTGCTGGCCAAGACTGGCTAAATATTTCCATAAAAATTCCCTATGAAGTAAGTCACAGGCTAGGGGACAGTGGCACTCCTCCAAGTAACTCTTCCTTTCAACCCCTGCATACAAGCTAATATTAAACATATAAATCACACAAGTATTTTCAGGAAGTAGCACACTGGTTTCTCAGCACATTTTCTATGTATGTAGGCAGTTAAAAAGTCTAACTCTACAGAATGGAGGACATACCACTATCCAAGAAAGAAATCGATGCCAAAAGAAGTCCCTTTTATTCATACATCTGAACTCCATTAATGCAAATAATGGGGGGCTATTAAATGTCTCAAAAAGATCAGTGTGTGGGATTGACATTGTTAATCTGAGTATAACTAGTGTTCATCTCAGAGTAGTTGTGTTTTTGTTTCTTTAAAAAAAAAAGTAGTAGGAACTTTCTCCTTCAGTGTGCAATATAATAAAATTGAAAAAAAAATTAAATTCCAAACCATAAACAACCCCAAACACTGGCCAAACATTAAAAAGAAAGAGGCCCAGCATCCCAGGGTTAATACAGGCAGCAGGAAGAACCAACGCCCTGTGCTTCAGAGCCTTGCTCCACATTTCAGCCAGACTTCCAAAACAGGCTGCTCATAGTTTGGCCAGGGCCCTGGCTGCTGGCTCTGATGGGCAGGGCACTACTCAGCTGGCCCCAGCAGCACTCAGCATGCATGGCAAGCTTTTAGCAGGAAGGATGTGTCAGGGAGGGAGGACCTGGACTGAAGTCATACTCATCTTTCTCATCAGTATGAGTTTCTTCCTTCTTGGCAGTTTTCCCTTTAAGATCAGTGTGTGCTGAGGTTTAGTCCGAGCTGGCCATCAGAGCCACTATAGAAGGGATGTGAAGGGATTTTTGAGTTGGATTCACCAATGATGCAGCTTTAGAAAAAGTGCAGCACAGTCAAAGTGCATTTCTTCTACCACTCAAGTGGCAGCGACTGAGGACTCCACAGACAGGACGCAGCAAGACGAGAGAATGAGACAGCTGCTAGGTGTCAAGCTGCCACTGCACTCTGACACCCAGCAGTATCAACATTGGTAAAGCTTTCGGTTGTTAAGGCCACAATTTTTCAGCTCTCATCTTTGAACCCTGTTTAGAAAGATTTCACCTTTTTAAAAGGGGCAGCTCACTAAAAAATACAGCTTAGCTTAAAAAAGAAAGAAAAGACTTGAGGGCAAGAGGTTCCTATTATCTTTATGAAAACACTGTGCATTAAAGGCCATAGCCACGCAGAGAAGCCACCACCCTAGAGTAATCAGCTCTGTCTGGCAGCTGCTCTCTACTCTGTCAGGCTCTGCCTCTGAGTCAGCCCAGGCAGGAAGACTGTGAATTCTCCGAGATGGACGCTATACTATCAGAAGGGAACATTGACTCCAAGTGTCCTTATGTGCTGCTAGCCGATGCCTGTCACATGAGTCACCCAGGCTACACTGGCCTGGTCCAACCAGTGAGACATCTAGTGCAATAGACCACAGTTTGACACAGTCATACAGGATCATCTGAAATGGGATCACACCATGGTCTGTAATTGTTCCAGTCTTCTGCCACAGAGGAAGACAACTGCCAGCTCTTGCTCTGGGTAGGAGGCAGGCTGGTGAGTAGAGCAGCTGCTGGGGGAGGTACCAGGGGATGCAGGCCTGGACCCTCTTGGGGGCTCACTAAGAGACTCCACCCAGAGTCAGTACATCAAAGCAAATGTTGCAAACCCGCACAGGCTTGTTCAGGTCAAACTTTATAATAGGGATCTCCTTGGTTGAGCATTTATGGCAGAGAAGACGGCCGCAGTGACGACTGTGGAGGCAAAGAAAGAAGTGTGAGGAACACTGAAAAGCAGACTGTTCCCAAATGGCCAGTGAAGCCAGTCTCTGACTGGCATCTGTGGCCAACTCTGCCAACTGCCAGCCAAATCACACCAAGTCCCATATAATATTTAGTTCTTAACAAAATACCAACTAGTAGCTAAACTAAAGCAAACAGCAAGAATATAAGCTGCCCCACCTTGCTAAGACTGCCGCCTAGTCCTTAGCACCCTGTGAGGCAGTGATGGAACCTTAGCACCCAAGAAAGCCACAAGTCTGGGTGCTCCTGCTCTCCCTATTCTCCCTTCACAGTAGATCCTGCTCAGTTCTACCATCTCCTCATTCTGTTTGGTTAACTTCTGCCCAGGAGTGGCTCAGCCCTGACGGGCTCATCGTGGACAAGGACGGAAGTGACGACACAGCTGCAAATGACGGTGGGGCCTTTCTTACCAGTGATGCTTGCGAGTTGTGACTCCAAACTTGGCAGTGCACTCATAGCAGTTGGAGCCGTCACACCACGGAGGCTCCTTGGAGAGCATATCTGTAACACACACAGAAGACTGCTTGTTACCCAGGGATGTGCTGGACAGACTAGGCTGCAGAGGAGGAGCAGGACATTCCAACTGGTCAGGGGAAGCTTCACAGAGGAGCCTGGAGAATCAGCATTTGCTAGGCATGCTGGAACAGAAGGAAAGCCAGCTAGAGGTGTGAATCAGCGGCACGTGTGGGGTAACACACTATGAGAGCAGAGACCACACCACAGAAAAACTGCCAGGGGCTCAAGGGTTGGAAACAGTAGAGAGAACCACGACAAAGGAAACAAGGAAGAGGAATCTGTGAATTTAGGGGGCTGTTTGAACAGACAAGTGGGATGTGTGAACAACAAAGAGACAAAGGGATCTCAGGGTTCTGGATAGCGTGATTCAGTCTGGTGGAACCAACAGAGAGATGGCCTGAAGAACAAACTAATGCAGAAAAGTTGCAGTTGCACTTTGTAAATTGGCAAAGTATCCTGGGCAGGGTGCTGCTGCTCTGTACAGAGAGGGGCAGCAAATGGGTTGAACACATGGAGCTAGAATTGCCGCAGGCACCTACTGGGTGCTGAAAAGGCTGACCAAGCGCATACCATAGGGACAACTAAGACTATATACAACAACACAAAGCTTTCTTTAAAAAATAAATATGTAAGTAAGTATTAGTAGGGTTGGAGAGAGAGCTCAATGGTTAAGGACTCCAATACCAGGGGGTGTGACACCCTCTGGTCTCTGAGGGCACCTACATGAAAGAGGTACATATGAACTCACACAGCTATACATACATTCACAGAAATTTAAAAATCCTTTAAAAACAAATGCATTTTTCTTAAAAACAACAAACAACTTTTCATCTTATTTTTTCCATGTGTGGGCATTCTGTCTGCACATACGTCTTTGCCATATGCATACATAGAGGGTGGCAGAAGATGCATGTCAGATCCTTGGAACTGAAGTTACAAATGGTTGTGCTCTACCACATAGATGCTGGGAACTGAACCTGGTTCTTCAAAGAGCAGCCAGCACTAAGGCATCTCTCCAGCCCCATTAAAAAGGAAAAGAAAAGAAAATCTTTAAAAATAAAGTGTATGTGTGGGTGCATGTGTGGGTGTGACAGCCAGAGGACAACTCTGTGGTGCCATTTCTCTCCTACCTTTATGTGGGTTTCAGGAATAGAACCCAGGTCATCAGGCTTGTGCAGCACACACTTTACCTGCTGAGACATCTTGCTGACCCTCTGAAAAGTTTTGACACTTGATAAATTTAATTTCTGAGATATGGTATGAAGATCTGATGTGTACCAATATGTGATGATCAAATCAAGACAATTAGCCTTCCCCTTTCCTTTAAGCTTTATCATTCTTTGTGCTGGAAACACATGGATTCCTTTTTCTAGTTCTTGATAAACTATGGAATTGTTAGCATAGCAGCACTAATGTGCTGGAGAACACTGACCTTAGCTCTACTAACTGCAGCTGGTGATGCACCAGCATCCTTCTGTCCCCTCTCCTTCCTTTCTTGGTGCTGTTTTCATTCTCTGTCATTACATGTCACCCACTGACTTGCTCTGTAGCTCAGATTGGCCGTGAAAGATTTCAAAGTTGTTTATTAGTGGAGCTGTGGGGTACGACACAAGTACAGCTTGCTTGTGGAGGTCAAGAGCCAACTGTGTAGGATCAGTCCCTCCTTCACCTTTACATGGATTCTGGGGGCTAAACTCAGCACCTTTACCCACACGGCCATTTGATGGCCCTTGGCTTTCAAATTTTTTTTAATTGAAATTAAATTTAATTTTATCCATATGGGTATTTCACCTACATGTATGTATGTACACCATGTGTGCAGTGCCCCTCGAGGCCAGAAGAGAGCACTGGATTCCCATGTGGGAACAGAACCCAGGTCTCTCCATCCCCTGGCTTTTATCTCTTGAACTTCTTGCTGGGATAATACATGTTTGCCATCACCACACCCAGCTTAGGATATTCTAATTCTTGCTACTATCTCAAAAGAAAGGCATAAAAACACACAAGTAAGAAAAAAGAGTTGAGGGCTGGAGAAACGGCTCGATAGTTAAGAGCATTTGTTTTTCTTGCAAATGATCCAGATTTGGGTCCTGGTACCACATTGGGGCTCACAACCACCCCTAACTCCAGTTCCAGGGACCTGATGCCTTCTTCTGATCTCCACAGGCACCAAGCATGCATATGGTACACATACATATATTCAAGCAGAACACTCATACAAAAAAAATAAGTCTTAAAAAAAATATTAACTAAAACCAGCTAAAAAGCATAGTCCGTATGACCAGCTGAGAGCTTGTGGACTTCAAAAAAGTTTAGGGGAAATGGGAAAATAATAGGGCAGTCACAGCAAGCACTCGGAAAAGAGGCCCTTCCCCCTTCATAGAAAGAGCCTTACATGGTGCCTGGAAGCAGCAGGTTCAGATCTCAAAGAAAATTACGAGATTTAGAGTTGGGTGGTGGTAGAGCATGCCTTTATTCCCAGCACTAGGGCAGCAGAGGCAGGCAGATCTCTGAGTTTGAGGCTAACAAATTGAGTTCAGGGACAGTCAGAACTATTACAAAGAGAAACCTTGTCTCAAAAACCACCCCATCCCCCAAAAGACAGAGATTTAAAGATCTACACATCAACATTATAACTTGTAGAGGAGTGTAGAAAGTATGCTGCTTACCTAGTAATCTAAACAGAAGCTGCTTAGTGGCAACCTGGTAATTGAAAATGTTGATTCCTTGGTTATTATTCACCCCAAGGCGAGCCCCAGACCGAACGATGGCACGGCACAAGTTGGCATTCCCTTTCACGTATGCTAAGAGCAGCACTGGAAAACAAAACCACAGGTAAGGCTGTTGCCCACCAGTCCAGCTGGCCAGTGCCGAAGGGCAGGCAGAGCAGAGCACTGACAGGACACTGTTAGGAGTCTGCAGACATGGAAGAGTTTGAAGTGCTAGTGAGAACTCCATGCAGAATCTGGTATGTCTTCCAAAAAAGGGTTCAGCCAGAAACCAGGTGATACTAGAGTTGAGGTCTGTAATAAAAAACTAATGTAGAGATCCAACACAGGGAAAAAAAAAAAAAAAAAAAGTTTTCTCAGTTGGCTTCCCCAGTCAAAAATCACTGCTTTTACCACTAAAGACAAAGTATTTGCCATGTAACTAAATATAAAGACTTGTGATTTCGGTACATACAGAGAAGTAAAATTAGTATAGGAACATGTTCTAGAATGTTCTTCCATCCAAAGGAGCCTCTCTTTGTGAAATGCTGCCCCAGCAGGAAGCTAAGCTCTGATCTAACTATTCTGTTCTTCTCTACAGTGACAACTAGCAGCAGCTCCCTTGGCTTCCCTTAAGCTGACACTTGATTAAATTTTTAACTCAAAATGATGCAGTACCATGAGGGCTCTTAATCCTAGCATCAAATGAGGACATGGGTACAAGGCTAAGAATTTACTCAATCACCTTACTAAAATATAACACAAAGAGACACTTGAAACTAAGTCTCCATGAATCAGAACCCTGGACATAAAGTCTCTTCCTACATGCCTCTTAAGCTACAACCTGGGCAAGTAGCTTAAGTAGACTGATTGCAAAAGCATATCAAAAACACATAAAAGTAAGACACTAAAGAGGCCTGCTTATTATCCTTGTCAAGAAAGCTCCCAGGTAGAACTTGCCACTTATTCAAAGCATGTCACAGGTACTGAGGCATATTTCCTGGAGCCCCTGAGTCTTGGTTATATCTTATTTCTGCTCAAACAAGCATGGAAGGTCCTGGTTAGCTGAATAAAAGGCAGATAAGTATAATACAACTGTAAAGGCCTGCCTGGTCACAGGTATGAGGTTCTGGAGTACCTGAAGCACTTCAGATGTCAGACACCCGATTCCATGGTGGAGACATTCACCAGCTGCTGAGATTCAGACACCTTATTTGCATACCTGTGTTACCTTCTGCATCTGGTTTGTCCAGAGGATATTCAGGCATGCACTCTAAGAAGAGATCAAAGATGGCTGCTGCATTCTCTTTGCCATATTGTCCCAGAATGTGTAGTGGTGACTGGCCTCTGATAAAACAAGTTGCAAAGGTTAGACATGTATCTGTCTTAACTGTCACACCAAAGAAGGAATTTTCTGAACTCTGTGATCTTAACTAAATCTAAATGACATATAACAAACAAAAGTATATTTTAAAAAAGTAGTCATTACAAAATCAAAATTTTCATGGAACCAAAAGCTACTCCAGTGCACCTGGGGCTTGGGGAGGCAATGGGCTAGGTCACCAGGTGCCCTAGTCTATGCCTGGACCAGTCACACTCACCTCAGATTAAAGGCTTCAGCATCCACTGTGCACTCTGTCAGAAGAGCTCGGATGTTGTTGAGTCGACCATGCATGACCGCAAGATGAAGAGCTGGGGAGCAAATCCTCTTACTGTGCGAGTCCAGAAGCACACAGAGAGAGCTCTGTCTCCTCCCGACCCCATCTAAATGCACTCGGCCAAGTACAGAGCCATCCTTTCATATCCTCTCCCTACCCCACCCTAAGTCATCAGTGCAATGTCTTAAGCTCTGCTTCCTATAATGGTGGTTTCAACAATGAGATTTAATGGCTTCACAGAAAGCTACTTCTGTCTCTGTGTTTGCTTTCCATCTCTCACTGTTTGAATGAGAATGGCCCCATAGGATCATATATTTGATGATTCTCTATTTGGTATATTTGGTGCAGCTGTTTGGGAAGGATTAGGAGGTATGGTCTTTTTGGAGGAGGTGTGTCACGGAGGGTGGGATTTGAGGTTTCAAAAGCCCACGCCGCCGGGCGTTGGTGGCGCACGCCTTTAATCCCAGCACTCGGGAGGCAGAGCCAGGCGGATCTCTGTGAGTTCGAGGCCAGCCTGGGCTACCAAGTGAGCTCCAGGAAAGGCGCAAAGCTACACAGAGAAACCCTGTCTCGAAAAACCAAAAAAAAAAAAAAAAAAAAAAGCCCACGCCATTCTCAGTTAGCGCTCTCTCTGCCTCATGATTGGGGCTGAGATGTGAGCTCTCAGCTAATGCTGCAGCACCATGCTTGCCTACCTGCCGCCATGCTCCCTACCATGATAGTCACAGTGCATTGTCAGAACAGTAGAAAAGTAACTCAGACAGACCAACCGAACTCTGGGTACTTGCCAACAAGCCTGAACACCTAAATTTAATCTCCAGGATCCACATGTATGACAGAACTGACTCCTGTAAATTGTCCTCTAGAAACGTACATAAAAAAACAAAATAAAGTCACTGAGCTGTAGAGATGGTTCAGAGCATGCACTGCTCTTGCAGAGGACCTTAGTTCAATTCCTAGCACCCAAGCCAGGCAGCTCACGATAGTTTATAACTCCAGTTCCTAAGGATCCAACACCTCTGGCCTCTGAAGACACTGGCACTCATGTGTACATTCTGCTACACAGACCTACTTTTAAATGATTTTTAAAAACGCAACTGAAAAACTAAATAGTTTAGACTACCAGGGTTACGATCAAATTGGGAAAGCTGTTTGGTGGCAGGACCTGTCCAGAGCTCTGTTCCTGTATAAGTGAACCTTCCTGAGGGGGAGCAGACCCAAGGGTGCACTGCAACTCCACTGTAGAGCAGGACTGCCCAAGCACACAGCACTGCACATAATGTGATGCCTAGCAATTACCATTATTTCCATTCTCATCCACAGCAGCAAAGTCCACTCCATTCTCTAGAAGGACTGAGCAGATGGTGGGCAGGTCCTGCTGGGCAGCAAGATGGAGGGCGGTCTGACGATGCTTGGTTAATTCATTCACTTTGGCTCCTGCAAGAAGCTGTTAAAGTTGATTACTCAATCAGCCTCTCCCATAGTTCAAGGTCCCAATAGTAGGGCCAAGTCTATAGGTCTTCTCTTATCTATAGAAACTGACAATCTACCCTCCTGGCAGAGCTTGAATGCAAGAGGATCTTGCAGAAATTCCTACTGAGGCAAACACAGGAAAACCAGCGGCAAAGGCAAATAATCCACCAGTGTGTTCAATGGCTGTTCCTTAGGACACAGTAATTCTAAGACTTTAGTACACTAAAACTGCAAATTATACTCTCCGTATTATACAAGAATGTCCATACTACTTACAATTCTCAAAATTCAAACAAATTCCTCCATATAAAATATCCACATACATTCTGTCTAACCACCATACACTTTCTTTTTCAGGCCTGTTCCCTGTCTGACATTATGTTGTGCTGGAAAGTCAGGCTTTTGAGTTAAGTGCAAGTCTAGTTACATGAATTACTATATAAGAGCCTGGGGGGATTCTTTTTAACCTACTCTCTTTATTGTACATGTATAAAGTTTTCCTTCTGGAGTTTTGAGAATTAAGAAACAGCTCATTCAAAAGTCTCAGCTAATCTGGGAATGGTGGAACTTGGGAGGCATGCAGAGACAGAGGCAGGTGGATCTCTGTTAGTTTGAGGTCAGATTGATCTGCATAGAGAGTTCCAGGTCATCTGGGTTAGCAGGGTAGGGGAAAAAAAGGACAAACACAGGGAGGGAGGGAGGGAGGGAGGGAGGAAGCCTTAGCTGAGAGCCTGATAGTAGGCAGACAACATTGCTGACCTCCAGTCTTTTTCTGTTGTCTGTCAAATCCTCCTTGGCCCTCAAAGCCTGAGTGCAGCATTTCTAGGTCTACTTCTAGCATGTGTACTAGGGCACTTGGGACCTGCAACCTCTTGACACATCTGTCTTCCTGTTTAGTTGCCCAGATTTATACCTTTCATTTACAACAACTTCAAGGACAACTTCTGCACATATCCTGAAGCATGCTTGGCTTCACATGTTGCTCTGTTGCTTACCAGATTTCGGACAATGATCTCTGAGCCTGCTTGAACAGCAAGGTGCAGTGGGGTCAACTTGGAAGCATCCTGGACTCTGGAGTTCACATTGGCCTGGACACTGATCAGGAACAAGACACTTTCGATGTCAGAGTTCTGAACTGCCACGTGAAGAAAATTCCGACCTTTATTATCTACCTATAACAACAAGTAAGAACCACACTATTAGCCAGCTCCCCTTAAAGAGTGGGATCCTCTTGCATGCCCACAAGCTGAGTGGGTCACTGGGGAGGTCATGAAACATCCTTCCTCAGTTCCAGAGCTCCAACAGAAAATGCCACCCCACCCCCAACACAACCATGTACACACATGCATGTGGTCAAGAGAAGGGAGCCACTGCCCTGGCACCCTTACAGTAGGAGCTGGACAAACTGAAAGACAGGCACTTGAGGAGCTAATGATTAGCTGCAAGGCTTCTGCTTTGACCAAACCAGATACCCATCTCACTCCCTGAGTAGCCAAACAGGCATCAGAAATTGTCTTAAGCTTTAGAGTAACACACAATGGGAGGCAGATCCCAGACAAGCTGATATGATGTAGCCAGAACACCTTCCTCAAATCAAACCCTACCATGTACTGTAGTTAGAGAAAATCATCAATACATTAGTATAAGTGTTCAAGGGAGGACAACACACTCCACACTCTGCATTACCCCACCCCCACCTTCACACATGTCGACTGTGTGTGCTGGGGTAAATAAAATCTGCAAAGGACTCAGATCAATAGTACCAGTTTCATCCTAGATGGAGAACCCCATTCATGACTATCTTACACTCAGTCTGAGCATGGGAAAAGTTAAAAGCTATACATCCAGTCACACATAGGAAAATAATAAAGGCAAGGTATCAAAGCTTGTGCTAAGAAAGCAGTCATCTTCATGCCAGGACTTCATTTCATTCAGGCCTCATGTCTCTGTTCATTATCATAAATGGCTACTTCTTTTTTGTTGTTTTTTTGTTTTGTTTTGTTTTTGTTTTTTTGAGACAGGGTTTCTCTGTGTAGTTTTGGTGCCTGTCCTGGATCTCGTTCTGTAGACCAGGCTGGCCTCGAACTACAGAGATCCACCTGGCTCTGCCTCCTGAGTGCTGGGATTAAAGGCGTGCGCCACCACCGCCTGGCCATAAATGGCTACTTCTAAGTCTTGGCAAAATTCTACAAGCTGGCTGGAATCAGGTTTCTGTGGGACTGACCTGACAAACGTATTCCAGCTTTCACTACACATCAAATCATATCATTTCCCACCCACTGTTGTAGATAAACAAGTTGTAACCAGGATTTAGGAAATAATAAAGAAATGGCAAAGAACAAGGGAAATGCATATGCTCAGTAACAATGCCTCTAAAATACTCAGAAAGTTGACCAACAACACAAGTACCTCAAATTCAGTGTTAGTATTTAGCGGCATTCATTATTAGAGCATCCAGCCAATGCAGAGAGTGAGCTCAGCTGCATACCCATAAGGCCCTCAAGTAAGCTCCCTTCCCCAGCCTTATCCATATCACCAGGTCAGCCCTCAGCCACCAGACACAGGACACTGGAACAGCTACATTTTCAGAAAGGGGGAACTGAATTTTAAAACAAGTGTCTTTGTGTAGAAGGGACCTACTTAGTTAGTGGCTTCTGGCTAGTCTCCATAGGAGAAGTTCTGCTGTGGCGAATGGTGGTGGCTAGTCACTGACCTGCTCAGCAGCCCCAGACTCTCGCTTTAGAATGGCCTCAGCTGCCTTATTGTTCTTGTAAGTCATGGCGCAGGCGAACGGGGTCAGCCCTTGTCTGTCTCGTACACTCAACTCAATGTTAGGGTGAGAAATCAACAGCTGAATGATGACACTATGCTGGTTGCTGATGGCCACATGGATAGGTGTTCTTCCTTCTGCATCCTACAGAGATAAGATACAAATTCTCATGGCTAATGGAAAGATAAAATTCAGGAACAATATGAAGGGAGGCAACTTTTAAAATAAATTTCAGTTATGAGACCCTGTGTTTGAAATCAGTTTTTAAAGAGTTAAACCATAAAGATGGCTGGCAGCTTCGCTCCACCACACTTCTCACAGTCCAGTGACCACACTGCCCCAGTGGTAGCAAGAGCCCAGCACAAACACATTGTTTCGTCCTCAGCTCTCATTTCCACAACTCTCTGCTGATGAAGCATCGGCTGTAAATCTACAGTGTTCTGGAGCTGAGGAGCCAGCTCAGGCAGTAAAGGATTTGCTTCACAAACATGACAACTGGGGCTTGATCCTCAGACCCATGTACAGAGCATGGGCTTGTAATTCCAGTGTTGGGGAGGGTAAGACAGGTCGATTCTGCGGCTTACTGGCCAGCCAGCCTAGCTGTCCAGTCTTAGACCAACTGGAGACCCTGTCTTAAAATAAGGTGAATGCTAGGGCTGGGGAGATGGCTCAGCATTTAAGAACACTGGCTGCTCCTGCTCTTTCAGAGGACCCCAGCTTCCAGTACCTATATGAAGGCTTACAACTGCCTGTAACTCCAGTTTCAGGGGGCGTAGTGCCCTTTTCTGGTCTCTTCTGGCACCAGGCACACACATAGTACACTTTTACATACATGCAGGCAAAACACTCATACACATAAAAGTAAATAATCTTAAAAAAAATCTATTAGTTGGACAGTGCGTGAATAAAAACACCCAAGGTTGTTCTCTTGTCTTGACAGACAGACAGACAGACAGACAGAAGCTCACAAAGATACTCCCTCCACAGGTCTGAACGATGAAGAGCATCAGTGAGCTAATTAATGGGACACAGTCCTAAATACAGTCCTTAGTCCTCAGTGTGAGACTAACCCGATTTTGTGTGGAAATCTCTAAGGGAAGTAAGAAGAAGGTACAACAGATCAAACAACCTTCTTTATGCTGAAAAGCAAGGCACAGAGAATTAACCTGAAACCAATTCAATTACCAGACAGCCTACATGACTCAAGGTCACTATCTGTCATAATAAAGCCCAATTGGTAAACAGAAGTCTAGAATTGGAGAATGTACAAGGTCCCTTGTCACAAGAGAAGATTCCTTTAAGTTTACCTCCCCAGAAAAGAAAAACTATATACCTGTGCATTGACATTGGCACCGAATTCCAAAAGACACTGAACTGTCTCTTCCAGCCCCCATGAGGCTGCCAAATGCAGGGGGGTCTGCCCATCTCTTGCCTCCTCTTCTCCTTCTCCATCAGTACCTGGTTGTCTGGGACTATTCACATCACAGCCACTAAAATAGGGAAACAGAAAGTCACCATCCACTTTGCCTAGCAGCATGTGCTAGAGAGCAGCAGCTTTACCCGCTCTAACAACAAAGCCATCGCTGCCACATTCCGCTAGCTCTGGTCCTTAGCATCAAGTTCGAGAGCCTGGGTGCCACTGCCATAGCCTCTCTTGCAACTGGTCTTAGGGGCAACCTGGGAATCAGAACTGTTGCAGACTTCCTAAGGATATGCACTTATTTAAATGCTGAGGAACACTATTTGCAAAGTTTCCCAAATTAACCTTGCCTTTTTGTTTGTTTGTTTGTTTGTTTTGTTTTTTTGAGACAGGGTTTCTTCATGTAGTTTTGGTGCCTGCCCTGGATCTCACTTTGTAGACCAGGCTGGCCTCGAACTCACAGAGATCCACCTGCCTCTGCCTCCTGAGTGCTGGGATTAAAGGCATGTGCCACTGCTGCCCAGCGGGCTACAAGCTTTTATGGTTCATGTGTTGTGGTGGGGCCCAGATGAGCCCATATGGTCTCCTCCAAGCTGGCCTCCTGACTTCACAGTAGGAACTGGTCTGAAGCTAAAAGGGGTCAATGCAATCAACAAAGCAGAAGATGGTTTTGGTTCAGGCATGTGAGCCCCTCCCTCCTCCGCAGCTAGCTTGATTCTTAGCTGACTTGACAGAACAGTTGCCCCTTGATAATCTTAATTATGAAAGTTAGGGCCAACTACATGCACATGACTTAAAATGAGGAAGAGGCGGTTGGCAGTAAGCAGAGTAAGGGAGATACTTTGGCTTCTCAGACCTTCGAATAAGAAAGCAGGCAGTGGACTCATTGTTTTCATCAATGGCTCTGTGCAGAAGTGTCTGAAGACACCCACTGGGTCCTGGGCCCCAGCATGTGGCATCACAACCATGTCTGACCTGCAGAGAAACACAGTTTTCTCACACTGTCGAGCAAAAGTAAAAACATTAATTTCAACTCTGAGCAATATGCATATTACTTTTCAGATAAGACATAGTCAACAAGTAACTGATGATTTTATCAATCATAACCATTCATTAGTCTTATAAACACCAAAATCTGCTCCTTGGGAGCTGGCTCACTGGTTAGGAGCACTTGGATGCTCTTCTAGAGGATACAGGTTTGATTTCCAATCTCCACACAGTGGCTTACAACCATCTGTAATTCCAGTTCCAGGGATCTGATACCCTTTTCTGGCCTCCATGAGCACCAGGCATGCACACGGTGCACAGACATATAGGCAGGCAAAACATCATACACATTAAAAAATTAAAATAAATATAAGCTGCTCTGTGCAAAATCTTAAACTGCATCCTAGGAGCATTTTTTCAGAAGTACACATTAGTACTCTACAGCTGTGTTCTATTAAGGACAGTGTCTGTTTGTGTACTCCAAAGTCCCCTAGCAACACACACCTGTAATTAATAGGTAATCCCTCAAAAACAGTTGATAAAATCCTCAAGTACAACATACCTCCATGTCATTATGCAGGCCCTCAGACTCCAGGCTTACCTCACTTCTTAGATCTGTCTTGTCAACATACAGACAAACCTGAGATGTGGGGATTTAGTAATATGCTGATGGTCACAGCATTAAATCAGCCCCCACCAGGAGATGCCCGAGGCAATCCTTCCACTCTAGCTCTCCTTTGTGGTTGTCTCTTAAGACAGCCCAGAGAGAAGTACTGGCCAGCACCAAGTACTACCCTCCTTCCCACTCCAGACAGGTCTCACTGCATAGTCTGGAACTTGCTTTGTAGCCTAGGCTGACCTTGTACTCTCAGACATGCCACAGCCTTACCTACCCAGTGCTGAGAAAGTGAACACAACCATGCCCGGCTGAGCCTCAGACCTCGTTAGACTTGTTTTATTTTTATGCATATGAGTGGTTTTTTTCCTCACATGTATGATTGTGTACCACATGCATGCCTGGTGCCTGCTGATGTCAGAAGAGGGCATCATATTCCCTGAATTGGAGTTACAATTGTGAACTATCATATGGGTGCTGGAAGTCAAATCTGGATCCTCTGTGAGAACAAATACTCTTAAATCATCTCTCCAGACCTATAATCTTGGACTTGTTCATGTGATTTTCCACTGTTTGTCCTTGACCTGCTTGTTACTTGGCTGACCTCTTGCTCCTATGACGGCAGGCATCAAATCCAGCTTCGACACAACATACTCTCATCTGTGAGCACAGGCTCTGTTATGCATGACTCACCAGAGTGGAAGCGATGTCTTCCAGATTACTTGCCAAGGCAAGCCACAGTGGTGGGTTCCCTTTTTCATCTGGCACAGACATGTCAGCTCCTCGAGTACATATGGCATCAACTACTAGTGGAAGCTGATTTTTGATAGCCAGCTGAAGGGCAGTCTCCCCATCCTGAGTCCTAGCAAGACATAACCATCACAATCAAAACCAATGCTTGTAAAAGCAGCCAAGAAAACAGCACCATCCAGGTTTTCCAAAGCCTAGATGCCACTGGACCTCTTACATTCACTCTAAAATAGCTGTATCTGTCTTTCCCACCTTTAAAAAAAATCCAGCTGCTTCTCGCTATTGTAGTCAAAAAGCAAACAAATAGGGCTGGAGATAGAGCTTGGCTTTAGGAATGTTTGTCCAGCATTCATGAAGCCCTGGCCTTGGTTCCCAGCACACAGGCCTGCAATCCTGGCACTTGGGAGAGGTGGGAGGAGGATCAGAAATTGAAGGTCATCCTCAGCTACAGAGAGCTGGAGGCCTAGGATACACAGGCTGTTTGGAGATCCTGGATAGAGTCAAGTACATTAGGCGAGCTCCCTACCGGAGCGCTGCACTCTACTCCTTTATGTTTTGTTTTAGGGGCAGGGTCTCACTGTGGAGACCAGGCTAGCCCTGAAGTCACGAAGATCTGCCTGCTTTGTACTCTCCAGTTCTGGGATTAAAGGTGTGCGCCACATGCTTACTTCCTAGCCCTTCTTAAATTTTTCATTTTGAGACAGTCTTTCTAACTTGCTCAAGTAGGCCTTAAACTAGCCTCTTGCCTTGTCTCCTAAGCAGTTGGAATTATAGGTATGCACCACCCAGGCCTAACTCCATTTACACATTCTGAGAGCCACAAGGAATTAAAAAAAAAAAAAATTCAATCTAAAAGCCAGGCTCTGATTTTGAAGCATCTCAATTACAAATGACCTGGAGTTAAGAGAGCATGCTACTTCCTCCCACCTGACGTTTATATCGGCTTGGTGCTCCAGGAGGAAGAGTGCACTCTTACTGTCCTGCCTCCGTATGGCCATGTGCAGCAAAGTCTGCCCATCTGACATGGTGTCATTGATAGATGCTCCAGAGCCCAGAAGCTGGGCAGCGATTGTGTGCATGCCTGGGAAATAAACATGCCCAAGTCACTCACACGTGGCTTTTCCCACGGCCCTGATAACAGACAGACAAGTTTCTCAAAGGCAGCAAGTTTTCAGTGAACATAACAGGCAAAAAGTTATTTT